TTGTGTCATAGCAACTAGTCGCTGTAATACACTAGGCCCACGATTCTTCCAAAATAGCAATCCCACTTCAAAACTCAGCTGTTTAGTATAGGTTGTTGCCAACTTGTTGCTTAACCTCACTTTTACAAAATCTCTTGTAATTCTGCTCTCAGATTGCCAAAGTCCGCAGAATTTACAGTGATGTTTTAATAATTTATAAGCTATTAATTGACAGCACTTTCATCTTTTTACAATCTGGGCCCAAGGATGTATGAAAGCGTATCAGTCTCCTTTGTAATGCTTTTTTTTAAATATAAATATAAATTTATAATTTAACCTTTAATATTATTTGCCAAATTGGCAATATTTCAATAAGGAACTCCGAATTTTTTTTTTATATTGCAACTATGGAAACCAAGTGGTGGCGGCGTAAGGAAATTTACCACTGTACTTTGCAACGTAGGTGTCGTCAGAGGCGACTAATGGAAAACATCAGTTACATTTTATAAAAATAGAGATTGGTAAAAGTTTATCTCGAATATATATGAGTTGTAAACCACCAATAACGACGACGGGCAGCAGCGCCTAAAGCACCATACTGTGATCATCAATCCAGATGAACTAAGGTAAATCCTCCCTTAAACCGAAGAGGTCTATGGTCAGCAGTGAAATTTTACTTACTGATGAAGAAGAAGATCTATAGAGGCATGTACAGAATTTAAAATAAAATATTTAGGTCATATAAGGAATAAACTTAATGTTTATTCCTTATATGTCCGAAATTTTGATCTGTTTATTCTTCACTTTTTAAATATTTATTTCCAACTCATATTTTTGCAGTTTGAAATAAGTCTATATTTTCATATTTTAATTTTAACTATAGTTGCTTAAAATATAACAGTGTTTTGCAAAAATTTGAAGAATAAAATAACTAATGCCTCCGATTACTATCAGACAAAACTGGATTTGTTGAAGTTTTTCAAGCTAATTTTTTACGGATTGGATGGATAACTGAATAGAGTTTGTCGCCAAAGGTGTTGTTTACAGAAGTGAATCCTGAGATTTCTTTGTTGTCGGTATGCAGTTTGAATTATAATCTATTTACTATGTACTAAATTTTCTGTTTTTTTAAAGGTATATTTAATTAACTTTGAAAATCTTTACAGTTTCCCTTAAAGGTTTCAATTATTTAAACGTTATTATTATATATATTTATAACTAATTGCACCTTATACAGTCACCGTACAGCGAAATAACTTACCTTAGTATATTAATTGAAAAGTACTCGGCCTAACCAAGAAAATAAACAAATACTAAATCAGTTATACTTTTATTTTTCTACATAATCACCATCAAGTTCAATACACTTTTGCCACCTCCCCTTTCAAGCATTTAGACCGTTGAAAAAAAATGATTCTTCCTTAGAGTCAAAATATGCGTCTACAGCTGCTTTGACCTCGTCGTTTGTCGAAAATCTTTGACCTCCCAAGTGCTTTTTTAGGTTAGGGAACAGAAAGAAGTCTGATGGTGCCAGATCAGGTGAATACAGTGGATGCGGTAACAGTTCAAAGCCACAGTTGTGAATTTCAGCCATTGACTGTACTGACGTGTGAACACGGGCGTTATCTTGATGAAACAGGACTTTTCTTCTGAGCATTCCTCGACGTTTTTCTTTTATTTCCTCTCGTAAACGACGTAGTAAGGTGCAATTGTAATCAGAGTTTATATTCTGACCCCTTTCAAGATAATCAATCATAATCACACCTTTCGAGTCCCAGAATACTGAAGCCATCACCTTATTTGCCGACAAAATCGACTTAGCCTTTTTAGGGGGTGGTGAACCAGGTCTTCTCCACTGTTTTGATTGTTGTTTTGTTTCCGGTGTACAGTAATGAACCCATGTTTCGTCCATAGTAACAAAACGATTCAAAAAAACATCTGCATCGGCTTCAAATAACTCCAAACAGTCGCGTGAAATAGTCAATCGCGTCCTTTTTTGTTCAACTGAAAGCAGTTGCGGAACCCACCTCGCAGACACCTTGTGGAAACCCAACTCGTTGACAATAATGTTTTGAGTTCGTTCATAAGAGATGTCTATAATCTCGGCTATCTCTCTAATTTTTAATCTGCGGTCTCCCATTATTAAATCAAGTACTTTTTTAATATTTTCGTCAGTAGTTGACGTCGAAGGCCTTCCAGAGCGGGGTTCATCTTTCAAACTCTCTCTACCACGCTTAAATTCTGCTATCCATTTTTTGACGGATGAATATGACAGAGCACAATCGCCTAATGTACTGACCATGTCATCATGGATGGCTTTTGATGATAGCCCCTTCTTATGGAGGTACTTAATGACGGCACGCTGCTCGATTTGCTCCATTCGCGGAAATTATGTCCGATTACTTTGTTAATAAATTTATAAAATCACAACTAATTATCGCACACGTTTCGAACTTCACACAATGAACTAGTCTGAACTGAACTAAATAATGTGGGTAGATTTGATTTTTAGAATTGAATGGATCTGTGTTAGGCCGAGTACTTTTCAATTCACCCTCGTATCTTGCAATGGATGTCGTTAGTAGCGACTATGCAAAATGCTGGAATTAACTTATGTCTTCGGACAAATGCCAACTGCGCCTAAGCTGTATGTGTCAGATATGCAGACTCACGAGGGAGAGTACCTTCCAAGGCATGTCACTTGCCAAGCGCCTACTATTAAGGCTAATAAAGAAGATGGAAAAGAATTTAAGAGGCATACGTCAATATCTTTTGTATAATACAATCCCCGCCCTGTGCCTGCAGTCTAGCTATAAAATTTAAGAGGAATATTCATTTAAAAATTAATTGAAATCTTATTTGAAACAAAGAGCCGTGGTAGCTCAGATGGTTAGCGTGCGCTGTAAGCTTCACAGTACTTGAGCAACCCGGGTTCGATCCTCGCTGACACCAATGAAATTGTTGATTGCAGTTTTAAGTGCTGATTTACCACGTGATTGGCGGTGAAGGAAAACATCGTGAGGAAACCTGCATGTATGAGAAATAAAAAAATAAAAAAATATTTCAACGACATGTAATGTTCGCCAACACGCATTTGGGCAGCGCGGCGGACATTTCCTTGCCCTTAAGCCCTCTCAGAAATTAGAGGAGGCTTGTGTCCAGCAGTGAGACGTAAATAGGCTGCAACTTTACTTTTTTATTTGAATCTATTAACTATTGAACGACAACCAACACAACTGAATGGAACACCTTTGTTAAGACATGTCTCGTCTAGTTATATATTTTTGGTATATATTTCTTACGGAATGAAAAGAATTTTGCCTTTTTTGTTGTGTATGTACGTGAGTAATATGTATGTGTGCGTGGCTGCGCCCACGATATGTGTCTAACAGAGAATACAGGCAGTGTGTCAATAGCTGTGTTGTGTTTCACTTGTCTCCCGTACCAAGAACATAACAGTGGCGACGAGAGTACTACCCACATCTTAATTTTATAATCGGAAAATGAATAGCTTTGGCATTTTGTCTTCATTTGATCACAACGTGCAAGAATGGAAGTCGTATAAAGGCCGAATTACGCAATGGTTTATTGCAAACGACATCACCCAGAAGAATGATACAGCTGGAGCCAAGAGACGGGCGATCCTGCTCAGCGCACTAACCGACGGTACTTATAAGTTGGCAGCGGATCTGGCACTGCCAAAGGATATCCAGGAAGTACCGTATGATGAAATAGTGAAGTTATTGGATGAGCACTTTCTTCCAAAAATATGCGGCTTCAGCGAGCGTTACAATTTTTATGCGGCTGTGCAGCAGCCGGGCGAGACATATACACAATGGGCGTCAAGACTACGAGGACTTACAGAACATTGTCGATTTAGTAACGTCGAGGAAGCGTTACGAGATCGGTTTGTGATGGGCATGGTAGCAGGCCATGAACGAGAGAAGCTGTTCGCGCAGGACATTGACAAGCTGAACCTGGCCAAGGCAGTGGAGCTGGCGGAGAGCGCGCGGTGCGCGCGCTGGTGCCGCAACTACTACGGCCGGCCTTGGGCAGCCGGTGTTCAGGATCGCCAAACAAAATAGTGCTACAGCCACTAGTGCCGGTAAAATAAAGTGTACAGTGTGCGGTCGTAACAATCACGAGTCATCCCAATGTCGGTTTGCAAGCTATAAATGCAAAAAGTGTAACACCAAGGGTCATTTACGTAAAATGTGTAATAAGGTTAATTACGTGTTGACAGGTGATGTAAGTGAGGACGACGACGGTAAGTCATTGTTTAACATACGCTCAGACCGTGGGGAACCTATGACAGAAACAGTTTCAATTTACGGGAAAAATGTACAATTTCAAATAGATAGTGGATCAGCAGTATCAGTTATATCCGAGGGTACTTATAAAAACATGTTCAGTAATATTCCGTTGCTAGATTCCAATAAAAGTTTTTTAGCTACACCGGAAACATTATGAAATGTATAGGGTACTTAAACTTGCCGGTGACGTACCGACAACACACTCACACATTGGACATTTACGTCATTCAAAATGGCGGACCACCATTATTAGGCAGGGATTTCATATCAAAATTTAAACTTAAGTTGACGCCTTGTAATTTTCTGAAGTGTGAGCAGAGTATGGTGGAGCAATTCCAATCGCGTTACCCGGAAGTATTTTCGAATAAGTTGGGTAAATTTAATAAATATCGTGTTAAATTAAAATTAAAGGATAATGTGAAACCGATATTCTGTAAAGCGCGTCCAATTGCGTTCGCGTTACGTGACAAGGTGGATAAAGAAATAACACGTTTAGTGGATCTAGGTGTACTTAAACCGGTATCGCACTCTGAGTACGCGTCACCTATTGTTCCCGTGCTAAAAAACAACGGTTCGGTAAGGTTGTGCGCCGACTATTCGGTTACTATTAACAAACAGCTGTTGATAGAACAATATCCTCTACCCACGGTACACGAACTATTTTCAAGGCTGTACGGGGGCCAACAATTTTCAAAGATTGACTTATCTATGGCCTATAATCAATTTTTGTTAGACGAAGAGTCTCAACCTGTCACATGCATCAATACACATCGGGGTCTATTTAATTACACTCGACTAGTTTTCGGGTTGTCTTCTGCGCAGTCTATATTCCAGCGCGCCATGGAAACGACGCTTTCAGGGTTAGACGGGGTCCTGTGTCTGCTTGACGACATTTTAGTCACTGACCAGACCCCGGGGGGACATTTGAAGAAGTTGAATATAGTTCTGCAAAGGCTTCAGGATGCAGGATTAACTGTGCAGAAAGATAAATGCGATTTCTTTAAAAATGAAGTAAAATATTTAGGTTATATAATAACCAAAAATGGATTACAGAAAGATCCGGAAAAGGTGAAGGCTATAGCTGATGCGCCCATTCCATCTGACGTTAATACATTGCAATCATTTTTAGGACTGGTAAACTACTACAGGAATTTCGTGGCGGGAGCATCCTGCATCTTGAGTCCTTTGTATGACCTATTAAAAAAGGGGGTTAAGTGGAACTGGTCTACGTCACATCAACAAGCGTTTGATAAAATTAAGAAATGTTTGACGTCGGATCAGGTCTTAACACACTTTAATTCAAACGCCAAAATAGTTTTAATTGTCGATGCTTCCCCGTGCGGCTTAGGTGCTATTTTATCCCAAATAGACAATGAGGGGTTAGAGCGTCCGGTAGCATTCGCTTCCCGCACGTTGAACGCAGCTGAGAAAAACTACTCACAGATACAGAAAGAGGCGACCGCAATAATATTTGGAATACGCCGGTTCCATCAATATTTATATGGCAGATCAGATCCATTTATATTACGCACGGATCACAAGCCGTTAATTTCTATTTTCGGCCCACACAAAGGTATACCGGAAGTGTCGGCTAATAGATTGCAGAGATATGCAATGTTTTTAAGTGCATACAATTATACAATCGAGTATGTTCGTAGTGCCGACAACAACGCGGATTTTCTGTCTCGCGCGAGTTTACAGGGTGAGTCACCGCGGGCTCGCGCCGAGAGCGAGGGAGACAACATTGGCGCACACACCGCCGCCGCCGCCGCTCCCATTGATCGCGCATCATACGTTAACTTTGTTGTCGAAGGCGACATGCCGTTAACCTTGAATGAGTTACGCAAAGCTACTAAAGAGGATGCTGTATTACAGTTAGTGGTAAATTATGTTCAAAACGGTTGGCCTAAAAAAATAGTGGACTCGCAGTTGAAACCCTATCATTTATGTAAGACCCAATTATCATATGAAGACGGTTGTTTAATGAGGGGTCATAAGGTGATACTTCCTGAATCTTTGCGGTCGAAGGTTTTATTAGAGTTACATAGCTCGCATTTAGGTATCGTAAAAACGAAATCAGAAGCTAGGTCTCGGTTTTGGTTCACAGGCATTGATGCAATGCTAGAAAAAATGATACACTCGTGTGAAATATGCAAACAGCTACGGCCCTCGCCACCCAGAGCGCCTTTAGCACCATGGGAGTTTCCCCATACACCATTTCATAGGTTACACGTCGACTTTCTGGGGCCGCTGAATAATCAAACGTTCTTAGTAGTGGTAGATGCGCACACCAAATGGTTAGAAGTATACGACGTGAGCACTTCTACCACCTCGGCGACCGTTATTGAAAAACTTTACGACTTTATGTCTAAGTACGGATTACCCCACACAATTGTTAGCGATAACGGTACTGCGTTCACATCCGCTGAGTTTACAAAATTTTGTTTATTAAATGGTATTGCTCATATTACATCACCACCTTACAATCCTGCTAGTAATGGACAAGCAGAAAGTTTCGTAAAAATTGTCAAAAAGGGCATAAAGTCAAGCTAAAGTGGATGGAGAGTAGTTGACTGTATTTATACTTTAACTGGCGGTGTGAGGTTAGCTATACTAGGGGACTGCTCGAAGAAAAGATGGTACTTTTAATTATACTATATTCACTATTTACAAAGGGTTCGGCACTATTAACTAAATCACTATTCAAAGAGGGAGGTCTTCAGTATGGAGTCTTCTTCCAGGTTTTCTGTCTTGATTCTTCCTTGTTGTCTTCTCGAGTGCCGCTTCCGAATGAACGCTTCCGAATGAACGACGACCGTCCGAGGCGCCCTTCTTATATTTCCGAGGAGAGCGCTTCATTCCGTGGGGTTAGCCGCCCGATTGCAATTTTCGCCGCACGCGCGCTGATTGGTTGCCCGATATCGCGTGATCAGCGCCGGCGTGCGGGGTGCGCGGGACGTAACGGGGAACGAAGGGGCGACGGGGCGGCGGGTCTCTCGCTGTCCGTAACATTCTCCCCCCGGCGTAGCCTTGCGAGCCTAGGCTGCACTCGGGAGGAAGTCGATCCTCCTGACCGGCCGCCGCAGCAATCCGCCCCTGGTCCTCACTTCGACGTTCCGTACCACGCCGTCTGGTCCGGGAAAGGTCCTCGTTATAACTCCTCTTGGCCACACGTTCCGCGGCATGGTCCCGTCTGCCACCACGACGAGGTCTCCTTCTTGTACCGGGCGCTGCTGCACGTCCCTTGAGTCTCCGCGCGCATCCAGCGTCGGCAGGTACTCCTTCACCCAGCGCTTCCAGTACTCGTCGGCAAGTCCCTGCGCCGCTCTCCACGCCCGACGATCATTAGGCGTGCACGGCGCGGTCACTGGAAGGCTCGATGGTCCCAGCAGCAAGAAGTGGTTGGGTGTCAATGCCTCTTCTTCGTCGATGTCGACCGGTACGTGCGTCAACGGTCGAGAGTTAACGGTGTTTTCGGTTCTGTGAGGAGCGTCGCTAATGTCTCCTCCCGTGGGCTCTTCTGATTGAGTGTGGCTTCGAGCGCGGTCTTCACCGAGCGCACGAGACGCTCCCATGCGCCTCCCTGGTTCGGCGCACCCGGCGCGATGAACTTCCAATCCGTCCGCCGAGTCAACGCGTAGTCCTTCAGCAGGGGTGCCCACTCTTCCATCGCCCGTCGTAATTCGGTGTCCGCCCCATGAAAGTTTGTCCCGTTATCCGAGTAGATGACCCGTGGCCACCCACGCCTAGCCGCCATGCGCCACAATGCCGATATCGCCGAGTCCGTCGTTAGGGAATAAACTATCTCTAGATGTACCGCGCGCGTCGTCAAACAAGTGAATAACGCTATCCACCGTTTTTCATGCCTACGTCCTATTGTTACCGTTATAGGCCCGAAATAGTAGATTCCGGTGTAGGTAAATGGTCGCGCGAATGCCCCTAACCGTTCAGGTGGTAGATCTCCGATAACCGCTGGCCGTCGTGTCGCCTTGCGTACCCTGCACCGCAGACATCTCCGCTCCACTTCTCGTACGGTCGGTCGTAGTCGAAGTATGTGATATCTCGTGCGTAGGTCGTTCACTACCCGTTCCCTGTTGGCGTGGCTTGCTTCCTTATGCGCCTTCTCCACAAGCAGCTTTACAAACTGGTGGCGTCCGTTCAGGATGATGGGCCTCTTCATTTGGCTGTCCACATCGGCTACGTCAATCCGTCCTCTAGCTCGCAGTACGCCATCTTCGAATATGGGGTCGAGCTTCCTTAACGCGCTGCCGGTTGCCAAGTTCCTTCCTTTCTGCAGTCGACTGATGTCTTCAGCAAAACTCTCTTGTTGACTTCGCTCTATCCACATCCGCTCTGCTTTCTGGATGTGGTCCAATGTTAGTCCGTGCGCCTTTCCTCTCATGGCATCGACGAACTGTAATATCCGAGCGGTGGCGCTGACCAATCTCTCGTAAGAAGAGAACCTCTCGATGTCTGGCAGGTGTGGAGCGCCCCTGGTGTCGCTCTGGTGCGCCACGACTTCCTCCAGCTCGTCATCTTCATCCCCTGCCTTCTCTTCCCGTCGTCGAGGCCATCGATCTTCCTCTTCGTACAGGAATGGCGGTCCCGTAAACCATTTGTCGCTCTCTTCCTTGTACGTATAATTAATGCGTGTTGCCTGATCCGCGATGTTGTCTGCGGTCGGTATCCACCTCCATTGCTCGGGTGACGTCTTCTCCGATATCTCCCCTAATCTTGTGCTACGTATGGGGTGTTTTTTTTTTTTTTTATAGGATGAGGGTGACAAACGAGCACACAGTCCACCTGATGGTAAGTGGTTGCTGCGGCCCATAGACATCTACATCTATCCTCTGTTACAAATCAAAATGTAGATGCGTTGTCACCCGTGAGGACTAAGATGGAATGCCTCATTTCCAGTAAAAAGGGCCTCCGGCCACCTGCACTCACCAAGCGAAACGCAGAGGTAAACCTCTACTTCACGCTGGTTTTCTGTGAGGTCGTGGTACTACCCCGGTTCGAGCCGGCCCATCCGTGCGACAGCAAAAGTTGCCGCGGGGCTCTACCACTGTTGTAACGCGCCGTATCGTTTTGAATCCAATGGAGCGCCGTAGTGGAGTCTGTCCAATAAACTACCCTATCGGCTACCACTCTGTGCTCGCCTTGCACGAATTCCGCGAGTCGCGCGCCTATCAGATTCGCCTGTAATTCTAACCGTGGTATGCTTTGCGCCTTTATCGGGGCGACTTTCGCCTTGGCCGCCACTAATCGTACCTTAACCGTTCCGTCGCGGTATCGTAATCGCCAATACGCCGCGGATGCGTACGCACGTTCGCTTGCGTCGCTGAACACGTGGAGCTGACGCTCTACCACTCCCCCCGTAGGAGCATAGCACCTAGGCAGCCGCAGTCGTGATACTTCCTCGACGACTCGCAGCCACCTCTGGAATTCCTCAGCTGCCTCCTCGGGTAGTTCGTCGTCCCATCCGACCTTCTTCATCCGCCACAGGTCTTGCAGCAGGATCTTGGCGGTGATGGTGAGGTAGCTCAGCAGTCCAAGCGGGTCGAAGACCGACATGACTGCACTCAACGCCTCTCTCTCTCTTGGTCGGTGGCCTCTGCAGCGTCTTCACCTCGTTCGGTACCCGGTTCATGGATGTGTTAAACGTTAAGGCGTCTTCATTGGCCATCCATAATAGCCCTAGGGTTCTGCCTGGGCTGTCTTGTCTCAAGCCTACCTCCTTAGGCTTGCTCGCTAATAATTCCTCCGGCTTGTCTTCTAGTAGGGCTGCGTGGTTCGAATTCCAGCCCGCTAAGGTGAAGCCGGCCTGCTGGTGGACTTCCGTAACCTGCCTCGCAGTGTTTACCGCTTCCTCTACCGTAGCATAACTGTCTAGGTAGTCATCCATGTAGTGACTACGTACGATAGCGTTAAGTGCCAACGGATGTGTCTCAGCGTGTGCGCGCGCGTTATGATCCCTAACGCTATGTGCGAGAAACGGCGAGCTCCTCGCACCGAAAATCATTGAAGTCATAACGTATTCCCGCGGTGGGCTGGATCGCTCGTTACCTCGCCACAGAAATAATTGCGCGGGTTGGTCGCGACGGTCAATCTTAACGCGTAAGAACATTTCCCTAATATCCGCTGACACGGCTATTTCGTTCTCCCTAAATCTGAACAGTATGCCCGGTAGGTTCCGTAACAAGTCGGGGCCGTCAAGCAAATAATCGTTCAAATATTTACCGGACGCACGCGCTGCCGCGTCGAAAACCACTCTCGTCTTCCCAGGCTTGTTCGGGTTTCGTACTGCGAAGTGGGGCAGGTACCAGCTCCTAGGGTCCTCTCTCTCCGTCCCCTCGGCTTCCCTTGCGTATCCTTTCGCCAGGAGGTTATCTATTTGTGCGGTATAGGCGTCTCGAAATTCCGGCGATTTGTCCATCTTCCTCTCGATCGTCCGCAGTCTTCTAGCAGCCATCTCGTAGCTAGGAGGCATCCGCACGTCGTCGTCCTTCCATGGCAGTCCCACCTGGTATTGATCGCCGACCTTCTTGACGGTGCGCTGGAATATCTCGACAGCGCATTCCTCTTCCCGTCGCGGCCTATTCCTTAGCGAGATACCGATGGAATCGATCTCGTACTGCCGTTTGAGGAGTTCCGTTATCTCCTCGTCTTGACTCGCGAACGTTCGGATGTCCCTATCTATCCGTCCGCTACTGCTTACGACGTGTAACACGGTTTCACCGTCCTCCCTACACGTGAATCGCGGCACGGTTCCCTGTATCACCCATCCTAATAACGTACGTGCAGCTATTATAGGCTGCCTTCGACGCCCTATCCTCAAATTACGGGTGATTATTAAATGCCAATTGTCGGCTCCTAATAATAATCTCGGTTTGGCGTCCTCATAGCAAACCGAGCTCGGTAGGTCGCGTAAATGCTTTAGACGTAAACACTCTTTATTTACCGACTGCGAACCTATCTGTAAATTTGTTACTGTACGCGCATTTATTCTATACATCTCGCTGCGCGATTTTCCACGTATGCCTATGTTAACTAGCCTGCTATCGGCCTCGCGCTGACTATTGCTTATTCCCCTAATATTCAGCGGCTTTACCGGTCCTTCCGCTCCTAACTCACGCGCTAAGTCGTCATCGATCAACGAAATAGTCGAACCTTCGTCGAGCAACGCGTACGTGTCTATTTCCTTACCGTGTGGTCCACGTAACGTAATGGGACACACTTTCAACAATACGGATGCATTCCTACCGACGTTAGACGCGACGAGTACGGTCTCATCTGGTTTGGCCGATGTCTCAGGTGCGCGGGTGTGAAGGAGGGCGTGGTGGGGGGCGTTGCAGCCGTCGATGCCGCATTTCTTTGCTTTACATTTAAACCGTCGGTGTTTACTATTTAAACATAGAAAACATACCCCGTCTTCTTTTACCCAATTCCACCGGTCGTCCACACCCATTTGCGCCAACTTCCTACACTTGGCGATCGCGTGTTCACCTCCGCAGCACATACAAGAGGCACTACCGGTGTCCTCCTGTGCGGTG